ATTTAGTGTGAATTTTCCCATTTTTTTCATCGCATCAAAAACTTAAGTGAAAAGTTTTTCCCCGTTTGAATTTTTTTTTTAAAATCGTTATAAATAGTTTTTTACTTACTTCTATTTGTTAAATGTTTAAATATAAAATGTGAAAATGCTGACAGAATTAGTAAATATAAACACCATATTTACAAAATGAAATACCATTTGGTGTAATTAAAGTATGGTTTAAATATAATTATCGAGGTAAGATACATTTAATTTTTTTTTAATTAATGATATTCAAAAGAAAGAGAGAAATAATACCTATGTGTGGGTGTGTTTCATTATATATTTCAAACATATGCGATGAACCGGCACTGGGGCATACTGAAAAAAAAAATCTTACAAAAAGATTATTTTAAAAGCAAAATGTCAAAATATGGCTTTTGAAAATAACAGGCGACTCAAAAGCCTATTATTATCGTCGTGGCAAATAATCGTTTTACTAGTATAGGCTGTGATTAAAGAGTCAAGTGCATATTTGATAAAACTTACAATTCCACCATCCATTCGCCTTCTAAAATTTGCCTCCAATTATCTTCATCTAGAGATATTAATTCGCCTTTACTATTTACACTTGCAAAAAGGCAGAAACTAATAAATAAAATTAAGAAGTTCCTTTGTTTACACCTCATCACGACTGCCATCTTTAATAAGGAATAGATTCGACAACAAAATCTTTAAAGCTAACACCCTTTAAAATAAGTTCTTTGACCAAATGTTTATTATTTATGAAAATAAAAATAAATAGCTAAAATTAAAATGAAATGGAAAGTAGAAAATATGTATATGTATCAAAAAATATAAATTAATATAATTAATATAAATTTAGTTCTATATATATTTTAATAGCCTTTTCCTAAAAATTAATTGTTATAATAGTCTGTTAATTTTAGAAATTAAAGGTGTAGTCTCAAATTTAGATATTTGCTAAAAGTGCTATTTAGTTTGAGAAATAGTATTCTTTCAAAAATAGTTTATAAAATAAAAGTTACCTAATTATATTCTACTTTTCGCCTAAGATTCCTAAATAATATATATGATGGATGTTTCCTTCATCACTCATATTGCTAGCAAAATTACGCCTCAGCCTTTAAAATTATGTGTTTTTTTTTAGACGGCAAATATAATTTATCTTCATCAGTATAGTAAAAAATATGAAAATTAGAGAAATAATTTTTAAAGCCTCAAAGTGGTGTTTTACTGGAGTAAAAATAAAATAGTATATTGTTGCGCCGCTGCTGTGTCAAGGATGGTCTAGTGAGCACTGGACTACGGCCTCTGAAAAACTTATGGAAAGCTTGGGCAGCGAGATAGCCTCAATTACAGCTGTGATAGCTGTTTGACTTGCACCTTGTTGCACAAAGGAGCAAGAATGGTGTACAAAAATCTGTGGCTTACCTCTTCAGTCTGGAGTGCAAAACGCTTACACATCACATGAAACCTCCTGGTTTAAAAACTGTCGTCGTATTTCCATGGCGCTTCCAATTCGTTGTTCTTCTTAGTAGGAGTGCAGGCTCAAACTTCAATGTACTTCGACCATACAGTCTTGTCGCACTTCCACAAGCTCTCTCACGCCCAGTTGTGTCGTCCCTGTATTCCCAGACAATCTGGCCTCGTCGCAGCAGTCCCTCACTCCTTAGTATTGCAGCCCACCATGATCGCCGTTTTTTTCGCGGAGATATTCAAAAGGAATCATGGTGGCGGAATATTCGCATGACACATCATCTGGAGGGTATTCTTTCGCTTTCCGCTTGACTTGCTTCAAACTTGTTGTTGGGTAATCAGTTTGCTCTCCACAAATACAGTAAGTGTCTGGATCATTACATTATCCATGCAACCATCTTAATCCTTCATCCCTAAGGCATTTCCCATCTTTCAAATTTCGGCCTTTTGAATATCCTGCCAATGAGCCTATTTCTCATTCAACATTGTAGATCTTTACTCTATCTTCTCACAGATTTCTTAACTCAATATTTTTATTACTGAGAGGAGAGCTTGGATGAGGTCTAATTGCACCGCCGCCATTATCTGGCTTTACAGTTATTCAGAATTGTCTTCACAAACAGAAATCCCGTTTTTCACATCATTTGTTACCTCACCGCTGCTGTCAGGAATAATCAAGTGAGCACGCGGGATCGAAAAGGATCTGATCCTCACCTTCGGAGAACATCTGACCTTCAAAATGGTAAAACCGATTAAATATTGCAAATATATCTCATCAGAGGCTAGTGCTGTTATTAGGAATCTAAGTAAGCTATCCTTAAATAGCAAGCGAACAATCTACACATTCATTTTAAGACCACTCTTTAACACTACAAAAATCAAAAGCTTTGAAAAACCAGATCTTCAATAAAATAATAGGGGCCCCATTAGAAAGGATCTCAAACTTCGACAATTAAACTTTGACAAAAAATCATAAAAACTTTAAACATAACTTTCCAAGAGGCTTGCAATAAAAAAAACAAAGGAACCCCAAACCAAAGCACCTGCTCTATCAACTGAGAAAAAGATAGGCAAATGGAAAAAGGAAAGAAAAACAGTAGTCTGAACAAAATAGATGAGGAAGACAGCTCATTTAAAAAAAAAAAGAACATCTGGATTATAGGATTCCTACCAAAAAGCACTAACCTTTTGTAAGTCAGTAAAAACATTAAATGAGAACCAGCATAAACTATATATTGTAAATATGTTGACACTGATGGCTCTAGTGTTTCAGGGAAACCAATTAATAGACACCAATAGTATCATTAAATTTGCAGCTTTCACTATTTATATGTCAAAACCATGTTTAGATGGGGAGCTTGTACTTCCACTATACTAAAATGTTTACTACTGGATATATACATAAAAGCCTATTTGTTCTATTTAGAAGTGTTGAGAAACTGCCAAATTAAAACATGTCCCAGACACTCTTCAACATCCTACCCACATTTTAGAGAGCTCCTCCCATATTTCCCAAAACATACTGCCAAAATAAATCATGCTTATTTACATAAAGGGCTCTCGGTTTTTCAATAGATATAGTACAGCAGTGGTACTCCAACATCTTTATATACTGCTACACGCAACTCCTCAGAATAATTGTACTTCCTTTCAGACCAGAACTAATGGTCATCCTTTATGTTACAAGACTTTAACATTAATTCTAATTGCCCAGGGGCAGCTTCACACTCCCTCTTCCAAGATATCTACATCTTCAGTGATAGAAACCAATGTCAATATGTTAGGTGATGTGTTCAATTCAGCTGAAACCTGGGGGCACTAAGGCATCGAGAGAAAGAAGAAGCAGATCAAGTCACCAAAACTGCAGATCACTCTTTCTTGTCTCTTCCCTTCGTATTAAATATGCACGCCCCCCCCCCCAAAGTTCACCTCTTCCAACTATAGACCAACCTTTATTGCACAGACCACGCCATAAGATACCTTAAAGTAGGCTGCACCTACAAACTTCTGATCAGGAGGTCACGAGATTGGGTCCTGTGTTTCAAAGTAATGGCCATAACGATGTTAGGTTATAACTAATACTAAGTTAGATTGCTATAGGTTAAAACGGCTTTTTGAATCTTATTCAAGAAAATTTAAATCATGTCTAGAGAAAGAGAGGTGTAGAAAGTGCAGTAAAACTTCCCATAAGCGACCATCTTTGTAAATTTGATATTGACAAACCCCCATAAAATGAATGTATCCATGTTTTCAGCCTGAAGTTTTGAGAATTGAATTGTTCAGCGTTATTTATTTTTATCATAGAGATAATATTTTCACACTTAGTGAACGGAAGGTGAAAAAGCTTTGGAATGGCTTGGTTTATCATTAATAAACCTTTCTGGAGAATTCACCAATATATTCCTGATCTCAACAGCTATTGCATGTTCAGTTTGCTTATTCAGTTTGCATTTTGAGGCTTATTCTTGATGATGGAGTTTTAAAAAACTTTGAAAAGAGGAATCTATAGAAATTTCACAAATGGTGTTGCTTCAGCACAGCTTTTCCGCTTATAAGACAAGACAGACAAAGTTAAGAAGATATATGTAAATAGAAAAGATAAAGGAATCTCGATCGTTCCTAATGCTAGATTCCAAACGCAGCATGTATTCGACAGTATATTCTAACAATGATGTTGCCAAGCTCAGAGCGTCTTGTACCATGGACCAAGAAGCAGCATCGACCGAGGACATCGAACGAGAGTTCGTGATCCTTATGCAAATTTTGAAGTTCGAGCAGAGTGGAGACCTGAGGCGTGATCTCTTGAACGCGCGGCTTCGGGATCGACTTCAGAGCTACTATAGGGAACAATTCCTGCTGCCTAGACTCTCGGGACCTGAGAAGTGACTGCAGCCAACTCTTTAGGAATCCTGGGCGAATTTCTTGCGCAACAGAAAAATAACATCTTAAATGTATATAGCCTTTACAATCGCCCCCCCCCCCACCCCCATCTCTGTGAAGAGACAATATTTTGAGATTTAAAATGCTACTAAAACAACTTTTTCTTATATATCAATGACTTAACGAACAAATCAGCCGTTGGAATTTATGTATAAACAGATATCAAAAGGAAATATTTTCCATTAAAGCAAACTGGAGAATATTTACCTAATAATTTGCATTTGAATATATGCCTTCAACGCCTTTGGAATAAATAAGAAATCAATCTACTTGTAATTTTAATAATTCGCCTTTTCAATGCAAAAATGCTTCAAATGCCGACGCAAAACTTTTTTCCCAACATTTGTTTGTAACTTCAAGTTTTTGTTTTAAGATAGAAATTTGGATTTTGGCGTCTCTTCAGGTTATCAGCAATTATTCTAAAAATCATCCTAAATATCCATAAGATCGTCCGAGTTGAAATAACATCAAACACAGACATCGTATTTGAATATTGAGATTCTCTGATTTTTATTTATAAAAATGGGGCAGATCTTGCCATCTGGATCGCCTGCAAAAGTAGGCTGGCAATCCTGAGAAGACCTGTACCCCTCCAAAAATTCCCACAAATTGAGATTTGTGAGAGCCGAGCGTTACCAAGGCTCGTTATTTTCCTTACTCATTAGTTTAAGGCACAAAAATCTTAGTCCAAGATTTAGCGCATATCTGCAAAATTTAAATTTAGCTAAATGGTATTTTAAACTAAATCAGTGTAACATATTGAGATTTGTTGTCTCTTTGAATTCAATTTAATACTCTGTATATATATATATGAAAAAAATAATAGAAAAAAAATAAAAAATAAAAATTTGAAGAAATAAAAAAAAAAAAAGAAATTGGGTTGGCCAAATATCAAGAAACAGGCTAAATCAATGTTTAGTTAATTTCTGTTCCACCAGATGACGCTCTGCCTTCTGCAAAGCACATGTGCTCCTGGTCAGGATATGCCTTTTTTATTTTTATATATAAATTAATTAAAAGCCATATATATATATTGGATAAAAATAAAACATTTTATTTATTACAAAATTCCAATACAGTAGAACCTCCATGAAAGGACACTCGCGCTAGAAGACACCTTTCTATAAAGGACAGTTTTCATTTGCAAAAATACCATTTTTACTATTTAGTAGCTCTTCAGCAAGAAGACACCTCTATCTAAAGGACACTTTGGCTCTGCAATTAGATGTCCTTTACAGGGAGGTTCTACGCTAGGCTATGGGCCTAACTTCGTCAGGGCCTTTCCTTATTTTTAAATTGTTTTAATTAATCACGCGATGCCTTCACGCGACGATATATATAACATAATATTTACAAAACGCACTCTGTGGATAAAATTTCAAATATATACCTACAAATTTATATTAAAAATAAAAAAGGCATATCCTAAACAGGAGCACATGTGCTTTACAGATTGTTTCTTTTACAAATTTATATAAGTATAGACTATATATATGTACATATCTAAAAATAAATAAATAATCACAAGTCTTAAGAATGTTAAATAGATTTGAACTAAATATAATGGAAGGATGACAATTTTTATATTGATACTGTTGCTATCTTTCATTGAGGTTCAACTTTCAGAAAAGAGTCGAGTGTTTATCTTGAATATTTTTGTATATAATTACTGTCTTTTCGAAATTTGGTATATGATCCTGTTTGAGTGCGTGAGATATATTTGTGCATTACGAAACATAAAGTTGAGGGAGGATGATATTCATTTACCATAGGGAGCTCCTCTATCTTTAATTATGCATTTAAACAATTCATCTCTCTATTTCTCTTGAGGTAACTAGGATTTCTTGAACGTACTGAAGTTACCAACTATCCTGGTTGATCTTTAGACTTCATGTCTAATGGTGGATATCCAGTTTATCATATGTACTGTACTTTGTTCTGTACAGGGGTAAATAAACAACAACAAAAACCTTTATTAAGACACAATTGTCTTACAAGGGGATTCCCCTAAAAGGTTATATATGTACATGAGTGAGGAGGAAAAGCAATTTAGAGGGGAGAGGGAGCAATCAGCCGTTGTCTATGGAGTTGGGGGTAAATATACTTATTCCCTGAAATGTAGCTGTTTGGAACCTATGAAGGTGGGACATCTGTGGGTGGTTGACAGTTTGGTCTTCCTGGTGGCAATGTGGGCAGGTAGGATCGTCTTTAGATAATTTTACAGCATCAGCTTTGACAAAGCCGTAATCTGTGAGGATTGTAGCGGCGCTGCCACAAAATTTTATTTTGGGTAGGATTGCAATGAGAGTGGTTGGGGATGTAGCTATTCTTCTAAGGTTTCTTGTGGTCTGTGGCATAAATTTCATTCCAGAGTTGGAATGAATACTGTTCGCTACGGGATCGAACAAACTTTAAAAAAAAGTGGAGTAGGATAGAGGCAGGTTGGAATGAGCTGCTGCCTTGGCAAATTGATCTGCTTGCTCATTGCCTTCTATGCCGCAGTGGCCTCTTTGTTTATCTCAAGTACACCTGTTAAAGGCCATGATAATCATGCTGGGTAGAAGCTGGCGACTGCTTTTACTGTAAGTGCACCACATGTCTATACATGGAAAGCAGTTCAACTTTGCACTTACAAATGTGCCAGAGCTCCGTTTGGTTACTTGCACTCGCGGGTCGGGTTGGACTTTTGCAAGAATCGGGGGCCATTGGAGCATTTTTTTTTTTAATCTGAAAAAAGTGCCCAATGCGAGATTCGATACCGGGTCATAGCGGTCGAAAACCAACGGTTTAGACCATCCTTCCACCAACCCCTCATGCTGTGGCCGCTAACCCGCGCAGAGCTATACATTTAAATAGTTGAGATTGCGAACTATCTCTGCTATGAGTGAGGTTTTTGGGAGTTCTGGATTACAAATAGCATGGAGGGCTGCAAGGCAATCAGAAGCAATTGCTGTTGGTTGTCTTTCATTGAGCTGGATATATTTGGTTGCATATAAAATAGCAGGTAATTCTGCCTGGAAGTGGTTGAAAATCTTCGATTCCTGACAGCCATTAACTAGGATCGAATCCCGCATTGGGCACTTTGTTTTAATACGAGAATAACCTTCACATATTTTTCATTGTTGTAAATATCATAAGCTAAGTTTCTCTTTCTAAACGGCACCTAGTAAAGTTATTTTGGAACTCAGAAAGAAGCTTGTTGATATGCCCATTAAAAATATACATCAATTATATTATTAATTTTTTCCCGGTCCCTTGAAAAATACTCGATAAGTTGAATAAAATCAATATTAATTGGTTCCCTCGGTAATTGGAAGTTAAAGGAATAGTATCTTGCCTTGGAATTGTATCATTATTCTTGTATGGATGTACCCGGCTTCGCCCGGGTTTTACCCGAGTAAAGGTTTGTTTAACGAATCTCTCGATAAAGTGAACATTTTTTCCCGGTCCCTTGAAAAATACTCGATAAGTTGAATAAAATCAATATTAATTGGTTCCCTCGGTAATTGGAAGTTAAAGGAATAGTATCTTGCCTTTCAATTGTATCATTATTCTTGTCTCAAATAAATTGCCGTGTCATCCTGAATTTTGTCTTTCCTAATTTTCTACATTACAAAATCATCGTATCATCATGATAATATTTAGAGCAGATTGTTGAATTATAACAGATAAATTAGAATATTTATCTTGATTATTTCTAGGCGAAAAGTTATTTCAAAAATTTTATTTGCTAGAAACCTTCCCAGTACTATACTAAATAACTTCCCAAAGTTTCATGGCGATCCAATGAGTGGTTTGGTCAGGCATAAAGGACAAACAAACAAACAGACACACACTTATATATTCATTTTTATATATATAGATAGATTACAAATATATAATTACTAGACGAATGACCCGGCTTTGCCCTAGAATTCCCCCGAGTGCAATTTCCTTCATTCTGAAAGTACATCAATAATAAATAGTAGAAGTGCCATAGAATAGCAATACACATAACACATAAACCATAAGTAAAAAGTGTGTGTGATGGCAAAAATTGTATTATGTATTATTTGATTTAATTATTTTTCGCAATCCATTTAGTTGTTTCAAAATCAATATAGTTTAAATAGATGGCGGCTTTTCCACCCAACCCCTGAGGTACTCGCCCCAGCGCATTAACCCTTGAAATTTCCTGAGTTGAGTGAGTGACTGTGATGGCCATCTTCTCAGTAAGAATAAGAAAAATTAGGTTTATAAAAAAATATATCCAAAATATTGGCATGTAAATATGTTTTTTTGTAAAAAAGAAAGAGCACATGGAAATTAGGCAAACAAATGTGTTTTCTAATGACTGCGACTGCATTTTAAACGATTTAAAAAAAAGAGAGATTAAAAAAGAAAATGAATAAAAATACGAAAGCAATTATTTACATACAATAAGGCTAATTTTGTAAAGTTTTTTTTTTTTTTTTTTAATTGCATTGTGTGCACTTACCGTAACTTAGTAATATACATTTCTCTCTCAATACTCAAAACTTTTGTAAAAAAAAGTAACACTCGTATAAAAAGATATTTAAAAAAAGTACGCTAACAACTTGAAAAAAAAAAAATGCAGAACGCTCATTGGTAGCTTAATTGGCCTGGTGTTGTTACTTTGCCTCGTATTTACTCCGCGTAAAAAAGGTTCTTAAAATGAAAAATAAATAGCCAAAAATACTAATCAAAATGTAGCCGACAAATTTCCCCGGGTTTATAAAAATCGACATGCAAAATTTGGTACCGATTGGTTCAGTAGTTTTTGAGTTTATCGCGATACAGACATTGACTTTTATATAAAAAAAGATAATAAATCGTAATTTAATAGTTCAGTTTCAGCTTGCGCTAGACTAACATTATATTAACAAGTCAATTTTTAAAATTATTATAAATAATGTGCCATTACAATTTATTCATTTTAACATTCTTATATATTAAAAAAAAGAGGCATATCCTGACCAGGCTCACATGAGCATTTATCGGACAAGTCCCACGCGAAAATCCCGAATCATGGAAGACCCCCCAGCACCAGAAGCCCCCAAAACCAATTTTACCAACTCCAGATACCCGGTAGGCACACGAAAATATTCTATCTGGACATTGCCAGAATGCCCGAAAATGAAGAACGAAGAAGACTCCAAAGCTATGAAAAATTTCTGTAGCTCTGTTGAAAGCACCTTCGCTGAGCTAATAAATTTCCTCGACTTCTATGACAGAGAACTAAAACAAATTCGTTCAGAATATGTTGAAAATACAAGCAAAGCTCCCTTGAAACGCCCGAGAGTAACATCCCCAGAAGCCATAAAAGAATCACATGCCACGCAAAATATTGCCTGGTGTCCCAAACAGACTTCCAGAGTTCCCACAAACTCTAAACCAACATAAAAAAATAAACAGCCAGAAAAACCACAAGCTAAAGAAAACACCGATATGGAAATCGAAGTCACTCCAAATAGGAACTCAAATCCTGAACAGAACCCCAAAAAATCGAACCCGCCCAACAAAGACACGGAAAACCCAGATAAAGGACCTAACAACCCTAACCCTAACCCAAAAATAAGAATACCACCGATCAAAATCAGTGGGGTAACTGAATGGTCTGGACTTAGAGAAGGACTCATAAACTGCACGCAGAAAAAACCTGAATTCTCCACATCT